AGGAGAAAAAAGTTGGATCCTTTCACCTGCAAAGGTCTCGTTCACACAGTCGACCAGTCTGAGCTGGACGGAGAGGAGGAGAGACGGGAAAGGTCTGAATGTTCGCAGAGAGGAGGAGGAAGAGGAGGGGGTCAGACTTAAATCACAGAGAGCGAAGAGAAGAAGTTCAGCTCTCACATTGCAGACCGTCGTCTTGTGACTCTGTAAAGGTCACCTGCTTCACATCTGAAACCAAAGTTAAAGGATCATTCTGGCGCTTTTTCAGCCTTGTCAGCAGCCTCAGTTATTGCCTTCGTCTTTGAGAGACGACTGTGTGTTAACAAATGTTTAATGGAAGCCACGGGGTTCAACAGAAGACTGTAAAAGCTGTGTAATGATTAAAAAAACACCAGGTAGAACATCTCAGAGCTGATTAGGTTAATTAGTAACATGATCGTTAATGAAAAAAAGCATTCCAGAGACACTTTAAGCATTTTAAAATTTTAACTGCTAGAGTAGCTTTGTGTGACTCACTGCTCAAAATCATCCTTCTTTGCCTTATACTGGTCCTTGACACACTGCCTGGTTTAGCTCCTCTCCCTTTTAGGCTAACTTTCTTTCTTCTGACTTTTGCAATCAGGAAACGAGAGGAAATGGCAAACTATAGCTTAAAAAGGGAATGTGCGAGTCTAAGAAGACCATCAAAAAGACCACGAAACCAAATGTTGCTCAGCGAGTCAGCAGAGAAAGCTAAATTACATTCATTTGTCCTAAGAAAACACAAAAAGCCAAACCTGTCACCTCCATAAACGGTTTATTTTGTAGGATGCAGATATTAAAATTTCAGATGACGTCTCCACATTTACTTCGTTTCACTCTGTGTGTAAACCTGGTGACTTTGTGCACCTTCAGCTGATTATTGTAACTTGCATGCAAATCACGGTGTAGCATTTCATATCAGTACACGAGGTAAACACGCTGCACACACGCTCCATCGCGTTTGGTCTGAACAGGTCGTTCCTGTGTTTAGTCGCTGACTCTGCTTTAAGATGTGAAATCAGCACTTTATGCACACGTTGCACCTCTGAGACGTTCCCATCAGGCGGACATGTGATCAGTGTTGAAGCCAAATCTTGAAAACTGTAAAGACCTGATTTTCCTAAAGGTTGTTTTCTCCACAAGAAGGGAGGGGCCATGCAATCGCTTCTGTCTGTCTGCTCGTTTGTTCGTTCACAGTCTAACATCCACAGTTTTCAAGATATCACGGTCAAATTTTGTATGATGCTAGATATCAATAACAGCTCGAGCAGATTTAATTTAGGTGTAAATCTTGTCAAGGCCAACATAAAACTTTATATTACCCATAATGTTTTATGGATCATCTTCAAACTTCACAACAAGACCTCGGGAGGCGATTTCGCAAACATCCCACACTGCACGAACAGATAATAAAATCTCAAGTTTTTACAGTTTATAGAAGGATTTTAGCCAATTCTGCTTCAATCATATAGGTAATAATAATAAAATAAAGTTTCATGGTTCACATGAATTATGAAACAGCTTTAGTTTCTATTGGATCATCTCGAAACTTTAAATCAATACATCAGCCATTGATCGGCATAAACGCTTTCTTTGATCGGATTATTTTGTAATGTCCTCGGGATTTCCATACACTTGTTTGCCATACACCCGGGGTCATTTTTGACCCGAGGACACACAAGGGTATACACCATTATAAGACACAAAAAGATTAACGTGCTACACTAGATTTCCATTTTACCAATGCTGGCATCGGCCCTCGCCATTCACGCTCTCTTGGTGCTCTTGTGTTGTTTCTGTAAACTGGACGGTCTTGTAATGTTATTGCATATTTACGATTAATCAGCCGAATCGCTTGTAACTTGTCTATGGGAAAATGCGCACATGCAGTATTTTGTGTTAGTGCGTGACACTCCCTGCAAACATGTGCAGCTCTCCTTTTTTTGTTTAAAATATTTGTTGCTGTTTATTCCTCCTGTTAATCTTTAACAGTATCTGGTTAAATTATTCATTCAGCTTTACAGTCTGGTCTGTAGTTGTTTTATCAATTTTTCTGCTTTATTCTTTTAAAGCTGTTCTGAGGAAGAAGGTTAAATATTCATAACTGATCTCGTCTCGATTTACTGTTGCGTAGACTAAGCTGTAGACTACGGCCGGGTTTTTGTAGCTACAGTATCCGGACGACCCATAAACGTGTCACATGCAGACAAACGCAAAGTTACTGTTTCAAAAAGAGGTCGGCTAAAAAGACACTCGCTGATGTGCAGAACCTGCAGAATCACTCATCCAGGAAGCTAACACGCACGTTATGAATTAAATATTCCCAAATATCTTTGTGAGATACATGTTTGAGTTTTACATCAGACGGACAAAATTTTATAAAACAATTGTTCGGCCAGCCTTTGGTTTTTTTAAACACTGCTTCAAGGTCTTGTTGTTGAGGGTTGAGGTCAGCTAGGGTTAGGTCAGTTTAAGATGACTGAAGGTAAAATGAGGTGAATCTTGGGTGTTAAGAGGCTTGGCAAAGAATTAAATAGAATTTCTAGT